GCTCCCAATGACAGGAGCATATATGGCTTTAGCATCTGATACAACCAAATCAATCCCCATATCACACAGTGAGTGTTGTGAATCTGTTAGAGTCTTCAGATTCTACAAAATCATTTAATTACATTAGGATGCAAGAATGATGTCATAGTATTTGAGAACAAAGAGCGTCCATGTGTGCATGTGATGAAGAATCAATCTGGAGGGTGGAAAATCTCATGGATGAAGTTTTCCTTATGATTTACTTGGCTTGAAGGTCAGAGGTCATGCAGGACACACTGTATAAAGCCATGATGTGCACATTATGTGAAAAGGAACCGAATACCTACAGTAGCCCCTGGCAGGAAATTTATGAATAGAAGTGGATGCTTGGTAGTGGTATAAGATGTATTACTCATTGTTAAAATTAGAGGGTCAAGCATTGTATCCAGGGCAGGCACTATTTCCAGTGTATTTTTGCCCTTTATTTTAAAAGCTTTATACATTCAACACTCACTTATCATGTTGCATAGATTATCTCTCTGGTTTTATTATGTCTAAAATAGTTGTCTTTTCTTTCTTTTTTTTTTTTTGTTCTCTATAAAAAGGAAACTTAAGACCAGCCAATGTATGTCAGATTGTGTCTTGATGATTCAAATTAAACATTATTTATCATATTGGAGTATACACTTCATTTCATTTCTTTCTAAGTTATGTTAAATTTCTTTTCTTTAATCCTTATTGCAGAGTTCTAAATATAAGATTTCTTTTCATTTTGGCAAACAACATGTAATCTGTGGGGTGATTATTTGAAGGTATGTGGTTATTGATTCTCCCAATATCTTTTGAGCAAGTGATTTTAGTATACATTGATAATCACCATACAAATCAGCTATTACATCAGGAACAGTAAAGTTGCATTTCTAAAATTTATTCTCCACTTGTTAACTGAAAATTTGTAATAAAAAGTCTTGCATTAATTTTATTTTAGCAACAACTTTGAAAAATAATTTACTAACTCAGAAAAATTCTCCAGAAGCTAATATACTTTTATTAGTATCACTGCTATAGCGTGATTCCTACTATATTAGGGATTTCAGTTGCACTACAAGTCCGAGAGCTTCTTGGCACTGGATTCAACATAATGTCTCAGACTCTGATTCAAAAGAGTATCAGTCAGTGTGCTGTGTAGTGGCAGCTGTATTGCAGAGCGTAAAAGGAAAAATTTGCCTCCTGGGTTCTGCATTTGAGATCTGGTGACCAGGTGAAAAGCAGAATGTGCAAATTGTATTTGAGCATCATTTTGTCCATCTAGAGGCACCATGACTCATCCAACTCCACTGATAGCAACCTCCCACAAGCTGCCTCCCTCTGGCAGATTTGCTCCTCAGCCTGTGTCAATAAGCCATCTAGTATGTTATCTATGGATTGCTGTAGAGGTCCAAGTTTAGATGTTCACTGATATGGTCTGAGACAGCCAAGGCTCAGCAGAAACATCTGTGTACTAAATGTTCCAGAGTAGGAGACAGCATCATGACTGAAATTATTGTATCCATCAGTCTGCTTGAGTGTTTTATCCTCAATTCCCAAAAGATTCTTCACAAGTTTATTTAATTGGACTCACTTTGTTTTCCTAATCTAGGATTGACAACGCTGAACTTCCCTCTTAGGATGCCTTTCACAGTGTCCCAAGTGTTCTCATGAGTTGTAAAACATAGTCATGAACTTTCAGAAATTTTTAAAATTTTTTGTAAATTTCTTCTGTAACCAATTGGTTGTATGAGTGTGTTATTAATTTTCCAGATGCTTCTATATTTTCTGCAATTTTTTCCAAGATTGATTTCCATTTTCATTGCACAGTAATGTGATAGTACACATGGGGTGATTTTGATTCTTTTTAAATTATATATGCAGATTTCATAGACTACTATGTGATCCAGTTTGGAGAAAGTATTATAGGCTACAGAATAGAATGTTTACTCATTTAAGATGGGTGGAATAGTCTATAGACAATTATCCAAGTTTGTATGTTCAGAGATTTGGCTTAGTTCTGATACTTTTTATTGGGTTTAATTTTATTTTATATGTCTCTTTACAAAAGTGGGGATTTAAGGTCCTTGTTTATAATTTGATCTTTTATGTACAGTGGTATTGTTTTTATGATGGTAGAACTCCAGGATTTTGTACATAAATATTTGTAAGTGCTATTTATTGTTTTTCACTGTTACTTTAGCTAGTGCATAATGACCTTCTTTGTCTCCTCTAGTCAGTTTTAATTTGAAGTTTACTGTGCATGAGTTTAAAATTACTCTCCTCATTTGTTTTGGGTGTCCTAGTACATGAAATGTTGTATTCACTTTTGATTTCTTGACTTGGATGTCATTTAGATTAAAAAAGTTTACTTAATGCAACAGATGATTGCATTCTATTTTTTATCCAGTCTGCTGCTGATCTCTGTCTTTCATTGGTGAGTTAAGGCTATTAACATTAATAGAGACTACTGAAATGTGTTATTTGCTATTATTGTATTCTTGCTCTGTTGATGACTCCTTTACTCTGCTTTGCCTGCATTTTTGGTTGTTATACATTGACTTTGGTTAGTGGCTTCATTTCGCCTGGGTTTTTACATTTATCTTATCAGTTTGCAATTTCGGTTTAGGATTTCCTGAGTACTCTTTTAGTATGAATGCACACATCTCTAGATGCAGGTTTTTTTTTTTTTTTCCATGAAATTTAACTATTTTTCCATCTACATTGAAGGAAGGTTTTTAAGTGCATGTTCACATGGATTGAAAAGTGTTTACTCAAAGCTTGAATATTTTATTCAAAATTCTTCTGCCGTCTAAGGTTTACCTTGAGAAGTCTCAAGTATTGCTAATGAGTTTACCTTTATATGTTATTTCATTATTTTTCTCTGAAAAGTTTAAACTATCTCTTTTCATACTGGAAATTTGGCAGTTATTAAATTGCCAGGGATATACCTTGTTGAATTTTTTTCTTTATCATTGTTGTTTGGCATTCAAGAAGTCTCCTTATTTTTAGGTTCAAATCTTTTTTTTTTCATTTGAGAAATTTTCTGTGGTGAATTTTGTAGACATATTAACATTTCAATCTTTCTTATAGTTTTTCTCTGATTCCTATTTGCTCTGCATTGCTCTACTTAGTGTCATCTAGTAACTACTGAGTGGTCTTTCTTGTCTTTGTGTGTGTGTTCTTTGTTTCTTCATAGTTTACAGTTGTATACTCAATTTTGGACAAGGTGCATTAAATTTGTTATTGTTGCAAGTTATTGTACAGTTTTTTATTTAAAGTATTGCTGTTTGATATCTTTCAGAGGATTCTATGTCCCTTGTGAATTTTTAATTAATATTTGGAATAGTTTTTGTCATCTTATACAATTTTTACTTATTTACCCCAAATCCATTTTGGGTATTTTGAATGATATTTTTGTCCAATTTTGATTCACTTCCTCTTTGAACTTATCGAGTTTCTTCATCTCTTCCATAATAACTTTATAGTCTTTAGCTCTCCAGTATTTGCTGTCCTCTCTATTTGTGCCCCTTGTTCTTACTTAGCATATTTGGGAGACCTTAATAATCTTCTGTTTCCTTCTATTTCCGTAATCTTCTTTGTACATCAATCCATTTTGTATTGTTTCCTTCTAGGAGGCAGCACCTGTAACTGGGTCATCTGTGGTTAAGCGTTGCTAGCAAATCCATAGGCTTCTTCCTGGTCAGATTCCCAAATTTGTCTGAAAGAAGGCTTTTTGATAGATGGGGTATGAGATCCACATATTAATGGTGTTATTACTTAGTCTTTCATGGAAAAATCATGTACTTGTACTTTTACACAGAACACAGTTTTGTACCAGGCACCATTCTAGGTAGCAACAAAAATGAATTCAGGCAAGTCAGCCAGTAACCCTTGACTGCCCCTAGAAGAGTGTTGCCCCAGTGGTCTGACCCGAAAATACAGGTAGTAAGTGGGCCTGGGTAACTGATGCTTTAGACATCTGATCTGTTTTCACCATCCTTGGCTACACTTCCATTGCTGAATTGTTTCAGACCACACCTCTGTCACTTATCGACCAAAATCCCTTTCCTGCCTATGACATGAGCAGGATTTGGCCCCTGTCTACTTCCTCAATGCCATCTCCTCATCATCCTCTCAGATTTTAGGAGCATAAAGCCAATCAACCCCCAGTGCATACCTCTTCCCTGTGCTCTAAGTGGCCCATGCCACTTCTTAAATGTGCCAAATTGCACATTATTTACCAGGTAGCACCAGAATTGTAAGGAATTTTTTTATGCAGTGGCCACTGGAGTCCAGGCATACTGTGTTGGTTACTTGCAACTTTGGGAATCTACATAGCACTCACATTATAAACAGCTTATATGTTTAGTGATGTTTGCAGTGAAGTTTATACGTACAGTTTCAGTTCTGAAAAGGAAAAGGAGTGCTATGACATGTAGTCCTCCATGTGTCTCACCTCATCATTTCCAGAGAACAGCCACCACTCAGTTTCACGAAGCTGCTATGAAATGGCATAACTTCCTACTTGGCTTGGACCTACAGGTGTTGTTTCTGGGGTGTGTCATCATAAAACTGTGCCAAGGTGGGATCCATTCCTTTTATTCTGATGTGTGCTGATTTTGATAAACCAATAATTATATAAAAGTATCCAGTCCCTTCAAAAATTACATTTATTTTTAACAAGCATGTTATAGGTAAAAATCAGATATTCCATTCTTTTTCTAAAGTAGAATTTTCTTCTACTGTGTAAGATTTTGTACACTGTCCTTTAAGAGGGGGCAATCAATTTGCATTTGATTTGTAATGAAAAGAACAGATGTCACTTTTTCTCTCCTAGAATGGCACAGTTGGACATTTCATCCCATTTCTATGACTTTTCTACAAAACAACCTGTTAGTGTGTTGGAAATACTAGAATGAAATCAGTTTTTGTCTTACTTTCCAATGTGGAATTTATCTTGGCAGTCCTGTAATGCAATGTACACAGTAAGTTTTGCACAAAATGTGTCTCTTTTTTCCACTTGAAGTGAAATTTGTTCCAGGGCAAATGGTTGAGAATGTTACAGAGTTTTTGCAGAATATTCTAGAATGATTTCAAGGGAAGTCACTGGGCCAAAGAGTTCTGTTTTAGGAATAGCTCCATCAGGTTTTGTCTTGTTCCACATCTCAGTTTCAGTTTCTTCCTCTGTAACATCATATTCATGATCCCTACTTCATGGATTTGTGACAACTCAATGAGATCAAATATAAGAAAGGCCTTCAAAGGCTGTGCTTTTGGGGGCAGGACAGATTGGCTCCTCTGACACCAATATGGCCCATCAGGTGCTGTGGAGGAGGTGCCCACTTTTCCTTCTGGACCATACTTGTGTAGGATACATGGCTGTGTGCATTGTGCCCTTTTGTGTTGTAGTGCCATAGTGCCCCTATGTATGTAATACGGGGCATAGTCTGTCCATAGCTTGCATCATTTCTGTGGATAGAGACCAAATTATAACATAGGAACCTGCTGGCTGCCTCTCCTAGACTTTTTCAGCTCCTGATCCCCTGGGTGCCAGTGGAGCGCAGCCCCAGCAGACTGCTCTATTGAAGTTCTTCTCTTGTGTTAAGTGTCAAACTCCTGTGTGAAGACTATACTTGTAACTTTAGTGTATCTGCCTGATGACTTCCAGGGGATCCTCTTTTTCCTCTTGCCAATCCAGGAAATTCAGAAAATTTCGCCAAAATTCCCTCATCTTTTTACCCTTGACAGACTGAGTGGAAGCCAGGTCTGGTGAGTTAGTGTTTGAAACAGTGGAAGCCCTTTCCCATGAGGAGACTGAAAGGGGCCACCATCCCCTTGGGACAGTTGTGTCATCTTGAATATGAAATACCTAGCAGTTTAGATTAGCACAGTTTTGCATGTGTCTAGATGATAGAAGATGGAAATACCACCTTGAATGCTGTGGCATTGGCCAGTAGACTTGTAACTTTGATGGCATAAAAAGCAAAAGAAGGAAGTTTCACTTTTGCTACAGAAGAGCAGAGGGAACTTTGCCTATGCATTTGGACATCCATCTCCAGGCTTCTGGGCAGACTGCAGCCTTCCTGCACAGAACCTCTGCTTCCTAATACACACTCACAGTGGATTCTGCAGCGTGCTGCAAGTTTTCCACCTTTGAACAGATCTTCTTCTGTCCAGGATGCATATGGCCTTTTGCATATAATGTTTTATGTTAAATATGTTCTAACATATGGGGCCATTTCCATTTTTCTCAGCTGTTTCTTAGGGCTCAAGATAAAGGCCTGTTTTCCTCCATTCTTTCTCTTGTGTCATTTGCATTTTCTTTACTATGCTCAAGCTACATTTCTCATTTCTGGGACAAAAAAAAAAACTTGACATCACAAGTTAATGAAGGAAGTTTATTCAGCTCATAGTTTGTATGTATTTTTTTTATGGGGAGCCAATGGGATCCTAAGTCCAGCCAAGATAGCAGTTCACCAGAACAAAGAGACCATGACACAGGGCCTACCCTGGGTTTCATCAATTCCCCAAGAGGGAAATGGCTCAGGGATGTTGACAGGGAGAGTGACCGAAAACACGACTGCTATGACTGCTTCAGAGTGGTGGGAAATATGTGTCTACCATTACTACTATGAGCTGGGCTAGGTAGGAGGTCTGAGATCACCTCTGTGATATTATGCAGAGAGCAAAAAATTCAAAAAGGAAAAGTAATTCACATAACCTAACTGAGGTAGTACCAATAATTTGGGATTGGTGCTTCAGTTCTGATGTAAAATCCTTTTTATTCTGGGAACTCACAGCCCCTTTCTCATGTGATTAATCATATTTTTAGCTTATAATTTATTGTTAGTTTAAAATGACTTGTCCATGCTTTTATGAAAAATACATTTGTGCATTTAAGTTAATTTCATATTAAATATAAATATACTCTTACTATTCGAAAATGTGGTTTGTATTAAATATTTTACTTTTAAATGTTTCCTTTTTATCAATTATTTTCCTTGCTAATGTTTCTAAGAGCCTGAATAAAATCTTTCTGTTTTCCAGTACTGTATTATAACTGTACCCATCTTCACAGAAAATGTTAAACCAATTTCTTTGTGTCCGTCATAGCTGAAATTGTTCATCTTGTTTTTGGTAACAACATTATTTATTTCAGTTAACTCAACTTTAGCTAACCAACATAAACAACAGTAATGTACCCTTGTTAGTGACTTTCTTATGCATGAAATTAATCACTTAAATGAATGAATTTTTAAAAATGGATGAGTTTATGTTCTTATTTTACTAGGACCCTTAGATTCATCATTTAAAAATCTTAAACTTATGGGTAGAATGCTAGAATAATTTCTTGCATGGGAGAATATGATGAAAAATGTTTTCCTATACTTTCTTTCCTGTTTCCCAAATGACTTAGAGTATTTATAAAATATGTATCTTTAAAAAAGAGAAAATAAACTTTAGAATTCTTCTATTTCAAATACTATCAAGGAAAGGAGTACACAGAAATTGAATTAAGAAATTTTCCAAAAGTTTAATCAAATTATCTCATCTAGATTGTTTTTCAACTGCTAAACAATTCTGATTGGAGCATTTTGACTGTATATCTTTAATAGGGAAAGTTAAAGAAATCTGTAAGTTGAAAATGATCCAATTATAATAGGAGTTTAATTCCCAGGCAGACAATGGGTGAACATTCTCGTTCCTTTATTTTCTCTTCTACTTGGTGATTTAGGACATAGCCTGGTTTTTCATGTTAGAGCCCTACTTTTCCTTGACAAACTGTGTTCCACCTCAAGACCACTGAAATGAAATGGGGCCCTCCATGAAGCAATAGTCTTTATTAATATCTTTGGTACAAGTCTCCCTTTCACTCAGACTTACTATCAGTGGAAATAAGCAATTAAATGAAAAATAATAAAACATACTAATAACTGCATTGGAATCCCCTAAATAACAAATATTAATATGAAAACATTTGAATCTTAATTTTGTATGTGAAAGTGTGAAATGAAACTTATTACCTTAAAATATTTGTGGACAAGAGAAATTATATGAAATAGCAAATTTATTTCAGACATAAAATAGTTCAACATTTCACATTTGTTGTTAATTCTATGTACAGAAATGTTATTTCTGCTTTCTAATGTGATGACATGAAACTTTAAAGAACTAGTTTTCTTCTGAAATTTTCAATATCAGCATAGTTAGCTTTTGATTAATTTTTATTGCAATGAGTAACTCAAATGGTCAGTGCCTGTTGGCAATTTTTAATCTATCATAAGATATTTAACTGTTCCATGAAAATGTCCTCTGAGTACAATGTATGTATTGTCTTTTTGTTAAAAATAGCCACAAGCACTGTAAAACTGGTTAAAAAACTTGAAAAAAATAAAAATATGTATGCATAAACAATGTTAAATATCACCTAATAAATCCATGCATGACTCAGAAGCGAAATATTTTTGTGTCTCTCTAATATATCAACTACAAAACTTGGTATTTTATGGTGCACTGTAGGAAATAAAACTCATACAGTATAGCTTATGAGAAAAAATAAAAATTTTGATAACTATCTCTGAAGCTTTGACAGTACTGAGAAAAAGATAATTTCTTAAATTAAGTATTATATGAGTACCATTTTATTTTCCAAAATAGCTAATATAAAAGAAAAATATTTTCCAGAAGTACTTATGTGTATATATAAATACAATTAAACTACATATAATCAATATTAAGTACTAGTTAAATTGTATATATAAACAATAACCCATATATATATATATATATATATATATATATATGAACAATGGAGGAAAGAAAATATAAAAGGGAAGGTAAGAGGAAGGGAAAATAGAAAATAAAACTCACTGTATCACAAAAGGATTGTAAAGCATAACAAGCTATGTATATGAAGTCAACAAAATTTAATTCTCAATTAAAGCATTATGTTGGTGTTACATTTTTTATTGTAACATACTTAGTGACTTTTGGTATATTAAATTATCAAAAGTCTTTACTGAATGTTGTGTTGGGTCCACTTACTGAAAAGTCCTCCATTTTTTTTGGGGGGTACTGGGGATCAAAGTAATGACTTTGTACTTGCCAGGCAGATGCTTGTGCTTTGAGGTACATCCCAGGCCCCATGGAAAGCCTTCCTTTCAACATTATTCAGTGGTTTTTAAACTGTGAGAGCTATTCAAAATCTTTTTAAATGAACTTTTAATTTTAAAGTTACTGAGGCATATATAAATGTGATACACTAAAATATTTAGCATAATTTGTTTTAAAAAATTGAATCAACAAGTGGAAATTTTCCTTTGATGACATTGTGCCATCCTCGGATTCTATGTTGGTAATTTAGAAGTGAGAGAGAAATTCCTGCAGTAATACTGTTAGGTCCTCTTTTGATCTGAATTTTTTCCTAACACAATACTCCTTTTTTTTTCCTGTCAAAATTTGTTAAGCACTACCCTTTTCTCAGAATTGAAAGACACTCTTTTCTATAAATTTTTCTACTCTTTTTAGTATGTACTGTATTCTGGAGATCCCTTTGAGCGTTTCTTATAATTCTAATGGTTATATTATTGTGCCCTTTTTCTTGGATTTCTGTGATAACACTGTGTATTCCTTTTGTTCTGGGTCTTAGTTACTTTTTCCAATACTGAGACAATATACTCAGCCCCCAGAATTCAAAGAAGCAAGGTGCATCTTGTCTTACAGTTTGTACAGATTTCAGTCCATAGGCAACTTCACTGCAAGACAGGATGGCATAGCAGAGGCACATAGCATGGAGAAAAAGACTGTCACTTGGCAGGGCAGGCAAAAAACAGCAGCCCTAGCAGCACCAGCAGTGAGGTAGCAGAGCAGCTTCTTCGTATCCCTTTGTGGTCCACCCAGACTACCAACTTTCAGGTATGTCATGGTGTATGCTGGTGTATGCTGGTGGCCCCCAGGGCTCATGCATTTGAATTATGCATTTGTGATTGGTTCATTGTCTAGTGGACAATGGGTTGGATTGCTGGTGTCAGTGCTATACCCACATAGGGGTGGAACCGGAGTGCAACGTAATGGCAGGAAGAAGGTGTGTGTGTCTCTCCCTCTCTTGCTGGTTTCTGTTTGCTGTTTGCAGCTGCCAGAAACTGTAGGCCTGCCATGCCAGCCTGCCATGGAGCCAACTGAGTATAGATTGAAACCTCCCAAATCTTTTCCTTTCTCAACTTTGAGCATCAGGTATTTTTGTCTTAGTGACAAGTAGAAAGTAACTAAGACAAGGTGATTCCACGCCCATGCAGGGCCGGGCACTCCAAATCCCAGCATCACAGCCTTATGCCAATGTCACACACTTTAACCTGGTCACCTTTGAATCTCTCCATGACTGCTTGAGACTTTGGGGGAAATATCAGCCATAACAATCTGGAAACCGATTTTCAATTTTATTACTGGACACCTAGCCTAAGTATAGACTTTGTAGTAGAGATTTGTGCTCTGTGTTTAACAAATGATTTAATTGTGTTACATTATGAGATATGAAAATCTCAAAGATTAAGGTTTAAAAGTTGAATATTTTTAATTAATCATAATTCTAGAATTTATTGCTCAGATTCTGATTCTGTAAATTAGGTGAGGAGCTTTTGCTACCACTTTGATGCAATTATATGTGTTTAAAATTACATGTTTAGTTAAGTGAAAATTATAAAATGTACAAATTTGATGCCTTCAAACATGTACCTCAAATCACATCCCAAAATCAAGAAAGAATCATTGATAACAACAAGCCAATAGTAATACAGACATTTCTATGTAATGACATAGAATATGTCACTAATGTAAATTAAAAATGAATCATTTCTCTAGGTATATTTTAAATATTTCCATCAATGTAGATATTTTCTTTATATTTCTTCGCATATCAGCAATTGTACTCATTTATAGGTTCTAGCTCATCAATTTTTATTGGAGGCAAATAATACGTGAGTATATAATTTTTATATACTTCTTAATTGATGAAAATTTAGATTTTTTAGAATTAATAATAATTCCAGTATATCTAATCTAAAGAAAAGAAGGGGAGTGAAGGAAAGAAGAGAGAACTGGAGGGAGGGAGAGAGAGGAAGGAAACTATGAAGACAAAGACATCCTCTCTTGCTTTTTAGAGAGCATTGACTGTAGAAAGCTTCTCACTATAATTTCTCTCTCTTTGAAATTAGGTAAATATTTTAAACAACTAAATCTTTTTGGCAGATTTATGACTTAAAAATATCTTCCTAAATCATGAAAATTGTCTCTTTGATATATTGCTATTAAGAAAGTTTGGAGATTTTATCTTCTAGTTTCTTTCATTGATTAATCAACTGATTGATCACTGAAGATTGAATTGAGGGCCTCCTGTAACACAGACATGCACTCTGTCACCCAATAACTGCACTCTTACTCCAGTTTTTTTAATTTTTGAAGTAGAATACAGCCTAATTTACATGAATATCTAGTTATACATTGCAAAACTGTCTTTTCATAACATAACAAAGCTCACTTTTCCTTTGAATTGGTGCTTAACTAGCACATAGGATCATTGTAATTAACAGGTGCATTTAAAATGAGCTTTGAGGGACAAGGAGCTTTGTTTAGCCCTTTTACTTGAGCACTCACAATTTTGTATTTTGAAAAAGGTGTAGGCAAGGAGCATCTGGTTGGTTGTACAAACATAGTAACATTTCCTTAATCTTTGTAAACAGTTTGAGAGACTCAGTGACCACCATGGTAGGACAAAGGTTAAATGAACCAAATGAGCTTCTGTGCATGGTAGAGTACTGTCCGTTGTAGTGTAGTACAAGGTTCTAGCCTTGTGATTATTTTAGCTGACCTTGTCAAAAAGAGTCTGATAAAAGTACAAAGTCAATGTGTTTCCAAAAAAATGACAAAGATGTTCTCAAGGGGGGAAAAATTCTTAGGTAAACCTTCTAGTTTATATCACTGATTTCAGAGTTCACACAGCCGGGAAACAGATTATTAGTTTCCTGCTAATTATACTGTAGATAACATGAGGTATTGTGACAGTTGCCTGGGTTACTTTGTAGAAACTTGAAGGCCGCATTGTTGATAACACTTAGCTTCCCTTGTATCTACGGATACCTGATGGGCGGCTGAAGTAGAAATCTTTGCAAACATAATTTGTTTCTGTTCTGTCTGCTGTTCTACCCTTTCAAGTTGTCTAAGTCTATCATACAGGGTTAATTTCACTATTTCCCATTGGAGCTGGTATGTGTGTTTGCTTGTTTATTTATTTGTTTTCCCCTACATTTCTTGTTCTAGGGTGCAGATTCTCTAGTCTGGACTGTTTTGTGCAGGATGAAGGTGCCAGCCTCATAAAACTTCAGCAGCCAGTTGGAAAGTTCACTGTGACCACCTGAGTCTATCTAGCACAAAAAGCAGCATATTTTAGAGCCTTGCAACTGGTCAATGGAAACTAATGCACTTTGTCACACTGCAGCAGACAATCAACAATGTGCTGCTCTCTTGGTTCTGCAAGCAGCTTGTGCAATCCCTTGATCAATGCTGACACCTTGACGCCTTGATGCTGATGCCTCAATTACCTGAAGCATGACCCTCCTCCAGTAAAGCTCTGTATGTGTAAGTCATTCTATACTTGCAATATTTGGCCTGGTCTTTTCTCTATCATTTTGGGATCTAAAGATACCATTGTCTGGTATTATCATACCTGTTTTAAAATTTATTCACTAATAAAGTTATTTTTTTTCTGTCTGAATTTGAAGACATTTTCATGTTTGGTAAATTATGCTTTAAATTATATTTCCGCAGCACTACACAATGCTAAACGTTTTATCTTTCACAATAGATTCTATCCCTTTGAGTATTTTTATCTAATTTGTAATTTTTATAGGTCAGGCTTCATTATTAAGTAGAGCATCATTTCTTCTGCCTCAACCAAAAGGGTCAGTGAGTACTATACTCCTGAATTCTTAAACTTCTGGTTTTGCTGTGATTTTATGTTTTATTTTCCTTTTGAGTTCTGTTTGCCCACAGAATTGTAAGGATTGTACCAAATCTCAATCAGCCTTCCCATATCATTTGTATTGGGGAATGACAGACTTTTGAGCTGAATCACTACCCTGCTAAACAATAAGTTTGACCCAGTTTAGACTTGCTAATTGTCTGAAATTTCTCTGACCTTAAAAACTAAAAGCAAACATGAAAACATCTTCTGGTGATTTGAAGTGGACAAAAGGGAAACTCTGCTGCCTTAGCTATTTTCACTTACTTCTAAATACCAGCCTCATTTTAAATTGATTTCCCTGTGCAACCAAAAGAAGTCTGTTTAACTTGTTAAGTAAGTCATTGCAATCTAAGCTTTTAGGAATCTTTAGTTTTTATGGTGTGTTCATAACCTTTTAAAATTGAATTTGGATAAAGATATGGTCTTTATGTTCAAATCTCTTCAGGATATTTTAAATGTTAGTAATAATTGTGATTTTTCATGTAGTGATCTTGTTACTGGATGGGCATTCTCAGGGAAGTTATTCCCAAATTCTTGGTAATGCAAAGACTTTAGTAACAATAGTAAAATTTATTGAAAACCAAAGTATACTCTTTGCAGTGAGAACAATCCAGTTAAAAGAGGCAATGACACAAATAGGGGCAGATTCTGAACCTTTTAAATTCTTGGATTATGAGAGGAAATACAGTAGGGAATTTACAGGAGTCATAGCCCAGCTAGGTACCTGATTCATTCTACCTATAAGATTTTTAGAGAAAGTGTTTTGGTATCCAAAACCAAGGTGAGCTGGTGCTAAAATTTCAGTGCACATGAGATTGGATACTTTTCAAGGTCATTTTTTTATGTGTTCCTGGGTGTCTTTGGGGCACAGAGAGATCTTTACTTATTGGTTCTCTAATATTTTGACATGGTTTTTGTTCTGTCTTGTTTTTCAATCCTTGCTTTACAGCTGCCTGTTGTTTATTCTTGCTCTACATGTTACCTTGGTCCATTTGCCCATCAAAAGTGAGCAAAGCTTGTACAATTCTGAACAGATAAAAGGTTTCGTGAATAAATTTAAATAACAAGCCAGTGCTAACCTCTGAATGATTCAAACAGCCTCAAACCACAATCAAATATTAGTGAGACATATCATACCAATAACAATATTCCATGTGATGAAGGATTTTTCTACTGAATCAGAGGAAAATAAGAAAATGAAGAAAACAATATAATAATTCAGTCTAAAACATTGAAAAAAGCAAAGTAGCATCTCTTATGTTATGTAGCACCTCTTACCAAAATAGGAAGAGAGAAAAGGATTATGATTTCAACATAAAGAAATGCCATTCTTTTAAAATGCATTCCTTCGTTATTATACCAATTCTATTTGTAGTCATCAGAGAAAGCCCATACATTTTTTTTTCACTCTTGAGCCAGTTTTTCAGGCCTTCCTGAAAATTTGCATTTAAATCTCCACATGTTGGCAGAGTATGTCTTCTCACATAAGAGTGAGATGCAGAAGCAACTTCAGGCTCATACAAAGGTAACCCCAGTCACCAGAGAACAATGAGCCACTGACTGTGCCTCAGACCCTCATTTCACCCATAGCCACCCATCTCTCTGCTTGCTGTGGTGTAAGCAAGAAGGGTGGTCTCTGTGTGCTCCACTACCTAGAGTTTCTTTCCTCATCCTCTTCCTATTTGGTTCTTCACAAGGGAGGCAGGTATCAGGGGACTATTATCCTCCCTTCCTGAGGCTCCCCAGGTCCAGGAAGTTGCTGAGCATCTGTAGCACTTTGTTCTCTTAGTCCTCTGAGCAGAGTTATCTGATAGCTGCTCATTTCTCTGATACCTGAGTATCCTACTTTCCTTTGTATGCCTTTGGAATGGCCCAGCCTCTGCCCTCACCACCTGTTTTTTACTGAAATTCTGTTAGAGATAGAACAGTGGATGTACCAGAAATCTGGTTCATGACATTCACTTGTACAAACTCTGGGGGCACTGTAATTGCTGAGAATGATTGAACATCCTGTATTATTCTATGGGGAAAGATAAAAACCAGGTATAACTAGCCAGCAGTATTTTATAACTATTTTTTTAATAAATGGTCCAAGAAATTTTAAGAGTATGAAACCTGGCTTTCTACAAACTCAAATAATTGGATTGATTTTTTAAAAATAATTATTTTCTGTGGTTAATTTAATATTGTAATTTTCTATATTTCTTTTTGCTAAAACAAGCTTTCAAACTGTACAAATTTATTTCCAAGAAACTTGTATTAGAACTTACTAACCCATCATGTTTCTAGGAAATCTTTTGAGGTAATATTACAGTAGGTGAAAATACTATGATTATGAATTTTGAGATCTCCTTTCTAAACTATCAATGCTGATATTATAATATCAAAAATTCTGCATTAGATATTATAAATACAATGTTTTTGGTAAAAATGTAGTTAAATTTCTAGTTGTAGTGTATCTAAAGTAGTTTTGAAGAAACAAAATGAGGTAAGATTAAGGGTGGAATTATTGAGAAGATGATATTTGACCAAAATTCTGGTTTTTGACCCAGTATCAACAAAATCACAGAGAGGGAAATAAGAGAAACTGCACTCTTCACATTAGCAAGCAAAAAAATGAAATATTTAGGAATTACTCTTACGAAAGAAGTGAAAGAATTATACAGTGAAAATTATAATACACAGAAAAAGGAAATTGAGGATGATCTCAGAAAATGGAAAGACATCCCTTGCTCATGGATAGGAAGAACAAACATTGTGAAGTTGTTTTTCACCATGTGTGAGTAGAGATTTCAAAAGTAGGTATTCATGATCTTTTGAATTTCCATGGGATTTTTAGTACTTTCCCTCTTTTCAGTCCTTATTGCATGGATTTGAGTTTTTTCTTTCTTTTTCTTGATAAGGTTGGCCAGAGGTTTGTCAATTTTGTTTATTATCTCAAAAAAACAGCTTTTTGATTCATTAATGTTTTTGTATTTTTAGTTTCAATTCCATTAATTTCTGCTGTAATATTTACAATTTCCTCTCTTCTGTAAGCTTTGGGTTTGACTTGCTCTTCCTTTTCTAGAAGCTTGAGAAGTAGCATTAGGTTATTTATTTTTGTTTGTTCCATTTTCTTGATGTGACTGTTTATTGCTATATATTTCACTCTTAGGGCTGCTTTCATTGTATCCCATAGGTTATGACATGTATCTGTGTTTTTATAGTATTGTCGGTATTCTTTTATTTCTACTTTAATTTCATCTGTAACTCACTGGTTCTTCAGAAGGTTGCTATTTAATTTCCATGTGTTTATGCAGGTTTTAAAGTTTTTTTTTTTTTTTTTTTTTTTTTTTACCATGGATGTCCAATTTTCATGCGCTATGGTCAGATATGCATGGGATAATTTTGCTCCCTTTGCATGGGTTAATAGATGGTCTATTTTGGAGAATGTCCCATGTGCAGCTAAGAAGAATGTATATTATGACGTGGTTGGGTGCAACACTCTGCAAACATCCACTATGTCCATTTGCTTACAGGTATGATTCAGTTATGTTATTTCTTTGCTGACTTTTTGCCAAGTTGATCTATTTCTTTGTGACAGTGTGGTGTTAAAATCTCCTATTACAATTCTGTTCTTGTGTATTTGGTTTTTCATGTCCATTAGTATTTATCTTATGTAGCTGGGTGCTCCTATATTTGGTGCATATATATTTATAATTGTTATTTCTTGCTCTTGTAGTTTTTCACTTGCAAGTATGTAATGGCCTTCTTTATCTCTTTTAATCATTTTAGGTTTGAGGTTCACTTTGTATGCAAGCAGAATAGCTTCCCCTGCTTTTCTCTGGGTTCCTATTACATGGAATACGGTTTTCCATCCTTTGACTTTTAATCTATGAGTTTCCTTTTGATTCATATGTGTTTCTTGTATACAGCATATTGTGGAGTCCTATTTCTTGATCCACTCTCCAGCTTATTTCTTTTGATAGGTGAATTGAGGCCATTTACATTTATGGATATCACTGATATATACTGGCTTGACTTTGCTATGTTGTGTTGCTGTTGTTGACTTCCCGCTTTTCTCCCTTGTTTAACTCTTGTCCAGACTGGTGGTTTCCTTCCGTTGTTCTGTGATTGTGGTCATTTTATCTCTATCTAGCATGTCTTTCAGTACTTTTGCTAGGGTTGATTTAGTGGACATGAATTTCTCCAGTTGTTCTTTGTCATGGAAGTATCTTGTTTCTCCCTTAAATTTGAAAGACATATTTGCTGGTGATACCAGTCTGTGTTGAAAGTTATTTTCTTTTAGGGCTTGAAAGACTTCACTTCAAGCTCATCTTAACCTGAAGATTTGTGCTGAAAAGTCTGCCATGATTCTAATAGGCTTTCCTTGGTAGGTGAGTTGTGTCTTTTGTCTAACATTTTAGTATTCTGTTTTTATGCTGTATGACTGGGATCTTAAATATTATATTTCTGGGTGTAGATTTATGTTGGTTCTGACTGTTTGGCATTCTGTAGGCCTCACTTATTTGTATATCAGATTTTTCACCCATGTTTGGGAAATTTTCTGCTATTACTTCTGTGTATATTTTAGTTATGTCCTTTGTGTTAACTCCTGCATCTTCACTGATGCCTG